AGTTGGTCCACTCAAAGATTTTTATTATTTCTCCTTCCTGCATTCAATCTGGGATTCCCCATATCTCTGTTTTGTTTTTAATCCTCATGCGAGGATATATTTTCCATTGATTTTTAGAGAGAGTGGAAAGGAGGTGGGGAGAGAGAGAGAATGAAACATCCATGTGTGAGAGACACATCAATTGGGTTGCCTCCCTCACACACCCCAGTCAGGACTGGATCAAACCTGCAATCCAGGTACATGTCCTTGACTGGGAACTGAACCATTAACCCTTCGGTTCGTGGGCTGACTCTAACTACTGAGATCCTGGGATCCCCAGATCTCCTCTCAGCACCACCCTTTTTATCTTAACCCCTGTCCCTAAGACTGATCCTGGACTTCTGGATGCCCTCCCTCCTTTTGACTTCTCCCGCCTCCCCAAGCTTCAGATCTTCCCCCACTGGCCTGCTTCAGATTGCCCTCATTTTGGACCTCACCACCTCACTTTCCATGTGCACCTCATTCCCTCTTTGCCCTACGCCCACATGTGCCCCTCTCCAGAGAGAGCATTAACCCTCCCCTCACCCACCTCTAGATGCTTCGGATCTGCACAAGGTACACCCCCGAGCAGGACACCATGACCTTCTCTGACGGGCTGACCCTGAACCGGACTCAGATGCACAACGCTGGCTTTGGACCCCTCACTGACCTCGTCTTTGCCTTTGCTGGGCAGCTCCTGCCACTGGAGATGGATGACACAGAGACGGGTCTGCTCAGTGCCATCTGCCTCATCTGCGGAGGTGTGGGGGCGCCCCCTGGTGTTTTTTCGGGTTCCTTTCCCACCACACATCATACCTGATCTCTCACCAGGCTGGAACCCTTGGTCTGTACCCGTGGGATTGTTGTATTTGGCCTCATCCACAGACTTCTTAGATCCAGTGCCAGCTTCCTGAGCCTGGACATAGGACAAAAAGGCCAGAGCTAGGGGGAGCTGGAGAGACCCCAGATACTGGTGCTGAGAGAGGGGTCTGGGCAGGAGTGACTTATCAGAGCAAGCCTCTTACTAAAGGGGAGAAGGTACAGAGCCAGGAGCGGGGGAGATGGCCTGGATGGGGCTTAGGGATAATAGGCAAAGGGCTGATGGGACAACATTTGAGGTCTGGAGGCCCATAAGGCAGGCCAATTGAGGATCAGCCACTTGTCGCTGCCCTCCCCACCTCTTCCATTCTACACTGTGCTTGTCCTCATAGACCGCATGGACCTGGAGGAACCTGAAAAAGTGGACAAGCTACAGGAGCCACTGCTGGAAGCCCTGAGGCTATATGCCCGGCGCCGGCGGCCCAGCCAGCCCTACATGTTCCCAAGGATGCTCATGAAAATCACTGACCTCCGGGGCATCAGCACCAAGGGTTAGTCATAAGTGAGCCTTCCCTCTCTTCCCAGAGGTGCTGGTCTTCAGGTCAGTCAGGTGGACAAATAGAGGCAAGAACTGAGTAGGTGAGAGCCAGGGGCCTACAGTGGAATCTAGGTCTGCCACATGCTGGCGGGGAAGACTTTGGGCAAATTCCTTTACTTTGTGTGCCTTGTTCTCCTGTTTGTAAACTGGACTATACTTATACCCACCTCGTAAGTTATTGTAAGGTCTCAATGAGTTAACACACAACAGGCTTCGAACTGTGCTGAGTGAAAAATTCAGTTCCTCAGTGGCAGTAGCCACATGGCTACACTTACTATAGTGGATGGAGTAGATATTCCATCATCGCTTTAAGTTCTGTTGGACAGTGCTGGTTTAGAAGGATGCCTGGCAGATAGTAAGCATTTGCTAAATAATAGGCATGCTTATATGTTATTAAAAACAGGCGTAGGAACAACTGGTGAGCTGTGGATGTTGGAGGGTGGGATCCTGGGGAATGGGGCTGGAAGTTGGGCACGGTGTGATCTTTGAGAAGACAGCCTGAAAGAATAGGATGAATGGGCAACAGCTTGGCAGAGAAAACAGGGAGAGACTGCAGGCAGAGGAGTGGCCCCCAGAGCCCTAAATTAGGGAGAGGGTGAGAGGGCAGGCCTGTGCTGGGTGCCCCCAGAGGGGAGTTATAGGATAGTTAAGAAAGGTAGCCTCAAGGGGCATGTGCCATTGTCCCCTGAAACTCTTTGCCCCTCCATTGCAGGAGCAGAAAGGGCCATTACCCTGAAGATGGAGATTCCAGGCCCGATGCCTCCCCTGATTCGAGAGATGCTGGAGAACCCTGAAATGTTTGAGGACGATTCCTCGCAGACCGGTCCCCAACCCAAGGCCTCTAGCAAGGATGAGGTTCCGGAGGGCCAGGGCAAAGGGGGCCGGAGCCCTCAGCCTGACCAGGGCCCCTGACTTCCCCTGCCATGGGGGTCGGGGCTCCAGGCAGCAGACTGACCATCTCCCAGACACCACCGGTGCCTGGGGGAGGACCTGCTCTGCCCTCTCCCCACCCCTTCCAATGAGCTCCTTGTTTTTGCCAAAGTTTCCAGGGGGGTACCTTTGTGTTCATTCCCTTCCTGCTCTAACGGGCTCCCTTTCCAGTCTTGGGAGCCTGCCTTGCTCCCTCCGGGAAAGAGGGCAGAGGGCTGAGCCTGGGTTTGGACTCTAAAATCTCAACACTGCCCTAGGACACCAGGGTCCCAATCTTCCCAGGGCAGGAGGAAGACCCTGCCATTCCACAGTCCCTTCCTCTTCCCAGTGCTTAGGCCTCTGGGAGCAAACAGGAACACTAGAGACCAAAAGAGGGGTGAAGGGGGAGGGCTGAGCCCACCCTCTTGCCCTTGCCCTTGGTGCCTAATGCTGCGTAAATGCACCCACTGGGTGCATGCTACCCTCTATGCCCCATCCTCATGCCAGGCCCTGCATTTCTGTGGGGGTCCAGAGGGTGAAAGCTACAGATGCAGGCCCATGCACCTCTTTGCTTGGGCCCAGAGTTTACCTTTGTGCCCTCTGTTATAAGCCCCTCCCCAATCCTGTCATGTGCCTTGGGCTCTCCCTGCCCCCCATCTCAGCCATGGGGCAGGGACCCTCCTACACTACAGAGGGGCCAGGGGACCCCTCTGCCCCTAGTGCCTTCCTCCCTGACCCCCAGAGCAGCTTGGCCCAGGGAGAGGGGGGGTGGGTGCTGCTTAGCTGATCCTGCCCTGACCCAGAGGAAGCCTCTATTTATTTATTAGCTTTTGTTTACACCCTGGAATTGACCCCTTCCTCTAGGGGTCTTGGGAGGGGGAGCCCAGGGCCCCTGTGACTCTCCCCTTCTTCCTCCAATCCCCAGTTTGTATTTAGCTGCCAAATAAGATTCCCACTGGCTCCCCTTTTTCTTGGGGGGTCAGGGTGCTGTCCCTTCCCCTCTGTTTACATCTCCCCTCCACCCCGCTGTATCGCATATTGCTGAGTTTTCTATTTTTGCAAAATAAAGTGATAGAAACTCATGGGATGTGGCTCCCTCGAGGAGGTGTCGGTGGGGTGGGGGAAAGGACCAGCTGACCTGAAGGGGGATTGGGTGAAGAGGGAGCGCTCCTAATCTACTGGGTTTTGCGGCTTTCTCAGGGGAACCAAGGAAATAGAATGTAATGTGCCTGGAGGGGAGGGGAGGGGCGGGGTGAGGAGGGGGAGAAAGGCAGCCTTCAGGGTCCAACCTGAGTTTCTGGGCCTCCCACAACCACCCAGGGGGATTCTGAGATCAGACCCTATGGGCCTCTGGGAAGGCAGGAATGGGCCTCAGAGGTCTTTAAGCTGTCCCCACCCATGGTCATATATATGTGTATCTCTGCTCTTCTCTGGGGAGGGGGTTCATTGACCTTTCATCTGGTTCTCATGAGGGTCTCTGGCCCCAGAAGAAAAGACCCACAGCCTATATCTAAGTTAAGTGTTTGTTTGTACCAGCCTCTCACTCCATGAGCTCTCCCACCTTTGTGACCACTCTCTGTCGCTTCTGACCGCGTTCTCCACCCCATGGCCTCCACTCAGCTTCCATGACCCCACTGCTCTCTTCTGTCCTAATCTCTCCCCTTGCCCCTATCTGCCCCCCTGCCTTTGGACTCTACCACTGCACCCTGTGTCCCCCAGCATCACCTCTCTGCACCCCCATGGTCCACCTTCTTCCCTGGGATAGTGCCTCGCCTACCTTGTTCCTGGCTTTCTTCACCAATGACCTGTGCATATGGAGAGAGGTTGAGGATATGGGAGTAGGGGAAGGGAGAACACTGGGGAAAAGCAGAAGAAGAAAGTGAAAGAAGCTCTAGAGGAAACCACAGGGCCTATGGGGTAGGGGAGGTGGTTGCCATGGTAACCTCTGGTTGTGGGGGAAGGGTAAAAGGTCCCATAGCCTGAAGCCACCCAAAGGAGAAACCCCTTCCCCCCCCAGTTGCTCTTCCCAGCAGCTATGCGCCTACAATCCAGCTGCCATTTACTGAGCACCTGCTATGAGATGGGCACTTTGCTAGGTGCTGTGTCTTCAGTTAGTCTTGTCCCAAAGGAGTGCTCCTGACACAGGAGAGAGACCTCTGAACACAGACCTCGCAGCAGTTCCTTCTCAAAGCTCCCTCTGGTCAAGTGTGGGCCAGGGCGAGTGTTTCCACAACCCTGTCTTTCTATAGGCTTCATTCTTAAAAACAATTTTTAAAAATTGATTTCAGAGAGGAAGGGAGAGGGAGAGTGAGAGAGAAACATCAACTATGAGAGAGAATCCCTGACCGGCTGCCTTCTACATGCCCCCCCGCCCCTCAGGGGTTCGAGCCAGCAACCCAGAGTCAACCAAGAATTGAAACTGGTTCACAGGTCGATGCTCAACCACAGGGCCACACTGGCCAGACTGTAGGCTTCATCCTTGCCCTCGATCCAGTGTACTAGGTAAATCTTGAAGGAAATGCAGTAAAAGTGGCCTCTGGACCGGGGCTTATTAGCTACTCTTGATCTTTCCTATTTTGAAGTCTGTTTT